AAAATAAAAAATAAAAAGGACTGAAGATGTAAGTCAGTGGTAAAGTTCCCATAGGATCAATCTCCAGTACCAAATAAATAAATAAAAGTCAAATTGTTCCTCTGTAAAAATAAAATTTAAAAAACAAACTGAATAAAGAAAGAAAAAATCTGTTCAGTCACATACTTTTTTTTTAACCTTAATTATTTGGGTTAATATCTTTTAATTTTCTTTACTCATTTCCTGACACAAACATTGATCTCTAAAATTTCTAAGCACTGAGATGATTCAGAAGCAGAGGGATTCCATACCCACAAATGAAAAGTTGCAAGAGTGCTTAGAGAAGGAATTTTAATAATCTCTGTAGAAATCATGCTTAATGTTGGAGTTGCTTTGTTGACTCTTAAGTTTCAGGGGTTTGCCTCTGAAATGACAATCAACCTCTGTTTCATCAGTGACTCTTTCCAGTGATAAGCTACTGTGGGTGTTCAAGAAATCCAGAAGCAAGGGCAAGCTGATCCCTCCTGGGGATACCATCCTAAGACAAACCAGTCTTACTGAAAGTGAGTAAGAGCCTCTTCCATGGAATTGAGTTTGCTCACACTTCAGAACAGATAGAAGATCCTGTAAAGACCCATGGGCAGGACCTGGCATACAATGGCAAAAGCTTTTCTTGCCCCCCCCTCCCTCCTCCCCCCCCCACTCTCTGGGGTGTTACCATTCCATTGGGGGACATTACGGGGCTTCTAAGAATGTAGCTATTGCTTACTTACGTATCTTCCTTAAATTTCATGCAGAAGTACTGGGTCATACAATGCCCTGGGCAATACTGACTAGCTACCTAGCAAAGGATTGTGAAGCCAAATAAAGGTATGACAAATCACTCTTAAGGTAACCTGGACCTTCAGATTTCAAAAAGTTTATTTGTGAATGTGTTTGGGAAATATTCATTCAGCTATTTCAAATCACAACAAAGATCAGATCATTTTCTCCTGAGCAGTAAAGATAGGTGTGGCACAATGGTCATCATTTGAGGAGCCTGAATCCTGTGTCAAGGGTTCCATATTGTCCTTTCTAAACTTTACACTGTCCTGGCAGGTAGAATTATTAGGATTACCGTTATACTTCAAGGTAATTTCACCCATATTAGTTATAGATGAAGAAGCCAAGAGCCAGAAGTTAATAATTGGCTGGCAATAAGGGGCAGCACCGGGATTTAAATTCAGTTCCCATTTTACTCCAAATCCCCTGCCCTTCATATTTGACCTCCTTTTATCCTGGTTGTGCCACTGGGATTATTGTAGAATATCTTCTTTAGGGTGAAGGACTAAATAGGAACATTATTTAGTTGATGGCATTGTCTACCCTCACAGAAGGCCTTGTAACTCTAAAGAGGACCCCAGATATTCCCTGCGGTAGGTTTTCGTGGCTGAATATTTAGGAGGGAGCTTGGCCGCAACTGTGGAGAAATGTGAAAGCCCCTGAAGGATACCAGTTGGGGGACCCAAGATGGCATGGTGTCTCCTTATCCTAAATATAGAGATCTTACCTGGGAGCAATTCTCTGGCTAGAAAAGGAAAGATGGATGTGGTAAGAATGCAGGTGACACCAGCCCTCCAGGCCCGTGGAAGGAAGCCAGTTTCAGCCACTGAACAGCTCAGAACAGCATGAGCAACCACGAGCAGGGATAGGGGAGCAACCATGAGAGTTGAAAGAAATAACACTTTAGTGGGGGTTAAGGTGTGGATTTAGCAAATAATAGGATGCTCAATTAAATTTGAAATTTAGATAAACAATGAATCACTTCTTAGTGTATGTATGTCTGGGTACCATTTTATCTGACAATTCAGGCAGGGGAGGATGTTGTGGGCTGAGATTGAGGGCTAACAAAAGGAAGAGTTCCTTCTGTGAGGTTTGGGGAAAGTATCTAGGATGTGTCTTGCCCTGGATGGGTGACAGTCTAGGAAAACTTCCAAAGAAAGCTTATCATCTCAATAGAGAACCACTCAGACCCTATGCTCTCACATTTCAGCCTTGGAGGGACAAACCTTCTGAGTTTACAGGACAGGCACAAGAATTTTCAGACTGAGATAACAGAAATTTTCACTGTCAAGGTCAATGCTTCACATTTCAGGTTTGATGTGTTCTGCAATTAAAATTCTTAATATAGTTAAAGTCTATTAAAAAGAAAAATTCTTAGTGTGACAGATTATATGAGTTTACTTGTCCAGTATTTATTTATTTATTGTATTGAGGATTGAACCCAGGGCCTTGTGCATGCTAGGCAAACACTCTATAACTGGACTACATCCCCAATCCTCAAATATTCTAATAAATGCTAGAAGTGAAAGGGGATCTATATAAGAATTTAAGCTAGGTGTGGTGGCATATGCCTATAATCTCAACTATTTGGGAGGCTAAAGCAGAAAGATCACAAAATTTGAGGCCAGGCAACATAGCAAGACCCTGTATAAAAAAAAAAAAAAAAGAATTTAGCCTGATTGGGTAGTACACACCTGTAATTCCGGCAATTCGGGAGGCTAAGGGAAGAGTATTTCAAGTTGAAAGCCAGTCTAGGCAATTTAGCTAGGTCTTGACTCAATAAAAAATAAAAAGGGCTGGAAACATAGATCAGAGGTTGAGCGCCCCTATGTTCAACACCCAGTACCATAAAAGTTTTTTTTTCAAATTTGTGTTTTTTGGGGTACCAGCGATTAAACTCAAGGGCACTCAATCACTGAGCCACATCCCCAGCCTTATTTTGTATTTTATTTAGATACAGGGCCTCACTGAGTTGCTTAGTGCCTCGTTAAGTTGCCGAGGCTGGCTTTGAACTCGAGATCCTCCTTTCTCAGCCTCCCTAACCACTGGGATTACAGGTTTGAGCCACCCGGCCGGGCATTAAAATTTTTTTGAGACTAGAAAAAGAACACTACTGCTTGGATTATTAAAAAAAAAAATAGCAAGGTAATTTGGGGTCCTGGTCACCCAAGTCCTTGGGTAAATAGTCTCAAGCCTACCAGAGGAAACTCAATAACTCAATTCCTCTTCCTTCAGAAGAATAGTTAGCATTTATTGACCCTTGCATTTTTAAAATTTTAACTTTTTATGGTACAGGGGATAAAATCTAGGGTATAGTGCATGCTATGGAAGTGTTCTACCACTGACTACATTCCCCTCCGGTACCCTGCTTTCCTTGAATTTAGACAATATGGTTCTCAGATAAGAGGGAATGCTTTTTTAAAAGAAAGAATCCTCCTTTTTTGTAGATATTTTTTTTTTTACTTTCAGAAGTATAAATATCATTATGTCAGATTATTGGAATTTAAAGAGTGTTGGGGAGCATCTCAAATTCAGCCTAACATCTACCAGAGGCTTCACCAGGTGCTCTGTATATGCAGGAATTCACTGTGGTTCACAGTGTGCTTCTGAGCTTGGCAGTGTCAGAAACCACTTTAATTTTTTGGCATTCAGACCAACACTAACCCAGTTCACCAAAATTAATGCAGAACCAGGAGGCCCTCCATGTCTTCACTTATAAACAGAATGTAAGGTCTCCCAATATTGGGAGGACATCTCCAATCTACATAGACAGCCCAGCCACAATTCCACAATAGCTTGGTACACGGGGAAGAATGATAAGAACAGAAGCCATCAATCACTTAAAGAGTATTCAAAAATTAATAGAAAATGGGCTGGGGATTTAGCTCAGTGGTAGTGTGTTTTAGTCAGCTTTTTCCTTACTATGACCAAAATACCTGACAAGAATAATTTTAAGAAGGAAAACTTTATTTGGGGTTCACAGTTTCAGACTTCTCAATCCACAGAAGGCTGAGTCCATTCCTCAGGGCTCAAACCGAGGCAGAACATCATGGCAGAAGGATGTGCTGGAGGAAAGCAGTTCAGAACATCACCAGGAAGCAGAGAGAGACTCCACTCACCAGGGACAAAATATATACTCCAAAGGCAGACCCCAATCACACCCCACCTGCCTTTAGTTACCACTCAGTTAATACCTATCAAGGGATTAATTCACTGACTGGATTAAGACTCTCATAAACCCAATCACTTCACCTCTAAACCTTCTTGCATTGTCTCACTTTAGGGGGATACCTCACATCTAAATCATAACATAGGACACTTGCCTAACATGTGAAACTCCCTAGATTTAATCCCCCCATAAAAATAACAATAATAAAAAATAAAAACATTAATGGTGATAGTTAGGCCTGGTCAAATGGGCCCATTTCAATCTCACAATTTCACCATGAAAGAAATATCCTACTCTCCCTTTTATTTGTGAGAATACCGACACACTGTACTCATAAATTCTAAGAGGTATGGTTTTTCAGATTTGGATTGTCCTGCAAAGTATATTCTATAATTTCCAGGCGTGGTGGCACACACCTGTAATCCCAGCAGCTCGGGAGGCTGAGACAGGAGGATTTCGAGTTCAAAGCCAGTCTCAGCAAAATCGAGGCGCTAAGCAACTCAGTGAGACCCTAGGGCTGGGATGAGGCTCAGCAGATGAGTGCCCCTGAGTTCAATCCCCATTATCCTCCTGAAAAATTATTATTATATCCTATAATTGATCGTAATACTTGATAAAATATGAGTTTTTACTTATTCAGTCATCAAATATTTATTGTGTGTTTTGGCATGAGCTTGGTATGATACAAGTTTGATGGAGAAAGCAGTGTATAACACTGAGGACCCTACCAAGTTCATAATTCAGTGGAGGAGACCACAAATCAGCAAATAAATCAACAAAATGTCAACTTTTGGATGTTGCTATGAAGAAAATAAGTATAAAAAAGAGACAATGGGGAACAGGGCCAGGCAGTG